ACAAGGACACCATCATCATTCAGACACCTCTCAACACATTTTTACCTCAGCATGACTGGGTCACAGGTGGTGACAAGATAGCTTGAATGTGGTACGGAGAGAAAGTTAACTTGGTTTTCACTGTGAGGGAAAAAAACAACACTAGTTTTCTTTAATTTGAAAGGATGGTCTCTAAAATAAAAACATACAGACTATGAATGTGTTCAAAGCTGTGTGTTTTCTATAAATCTTCTAAAGGTTTCTGTTACTATAGGTCTGTAAAGCAAAAGTTTCAAATTTTGTTCCACTGATTATTAGGCCTAAAAGGCATATGGCTGTCACCTTTCCATAAAGTGACACAATAAATCTCTAATAATACAACAACCAGGGACAAAAGTTCTGTCGAATGTGTCTTCAAGTCTCCTCTGTGATGTGAAGAAAATGTCTTAAGCTCTGTGGAAACAATCTCTGCCAACCCAGTAAGTTCAACACGTCAGTGGGGCCCCTATAAGAAGATGGCTCTGTGGCGTGCAGAGTCAATTTTAGACTTTAAAAAAATGCAATTAAGACTTCTTTAAATGTGGCGACTAAAAAAGATTTACTAAAAGCCAATGATCAGGTGTTCCTTTTTATTTCTAGATTACACTTACATGATCATAGAATACACATTATTTGAAAACAAGCAAAATGAAAAGTATCCTTACAAAAATATATATTTAAAAGTCCTTAGGTGACCCGATGAATCCATTACACAGTGGTGAATGGCTTTTTCAGAAAGGATTACTTGGCACAGTTTTCTATGGATGCGCATTCAGGCTTCTCAATTCCTCTGTAAATTCATTTAGTAGAATTAAGAACAGGAATGTAAAATCTGGGGCAAATACACAAATTTGCTTAGGGGTAGAAGCATAGAGAAAAAGTAAGGATGGGAGATGACCAAGAGAAAGAAAGTAGAAAGACCGAGATTTTTACAAAGCAAAGCTCACCCAAATACACTAGCCTAAAAATGAGTTCTCTCCAATTCCTATTCCCAACCTGATGTTTCACTCCAGAGCAGGGTTTGGAGGAAATGCGAATGAGATAATAAAAACCTTCCCTTGTGTCTTTAACTTTTAGAAAGAGTTAATGTGCCATCTTTTAATGACCTGCATAGTTACCCTTAGTCATTAGAATGTAGATTCTTTTCAGCAAATGTGTTCTCCACATGCCATTCCCCTCTCAACACCCACTCTTATTTACTGCTTCATAACCTCCAACTTCCAACAGTTGGTGGGAGCAGGAAAAAAAAAACATGAAAGGGGAAAAAAATGACAGCTGGTTTCAGTGGAAAGAACACTAGATCTTCTTACCCAGTTTTTACCGGTTTTACCCAGTGGCATGTTGGAGTTGGCTTATACCCGCTCAGAGTCAGTTACATGTTTACAATTTTGTGAGCCAGTTGTTAAATTAGAGCAATTATTAAAATTAAATAATATAAACTTAAATTTAAGTAAATAATATTAAAACAGAGGTACTAAATATTTAAAACATATCCCTTCCTATTTAACTATCTTAGTTTCACCATGCTTTTGAGGTTATTTATGCCTATTTTATCTGTATGCTAGAAATACTATGTAATGGTGTACCTAAAACTGGCCAAGCTGGGAATATTTACACCAAAGAAATTGGCAAATGCTAAAAATCAGGGTGTAACTCTGTTCTGTTGATGATCTAGGCTTCAGAAAGCCATGGAGAATGTTTTCTAGTAACATACTTTAAACCTAAAATGTGTCATGTCATTATCCTGTCAATGGCACACAAAAAAACTGAGGAAATTTTCCAGCATGTGAAAATGATTACCCAACTCAGCAAAGAAATCTGCTGAAAGAGGAGGTCATTGAGAGGACGTGACTGCCAGTTGACCCTCGAGCTGGACCAGGACTATACAAGCCTCCTTACTCCTTCCCCTGTCCTTGAAATATACATCTTGCCCACTATTGGTGTCATTTCAAGGACACAGCCTTGAGAAAGCAGTGTGCTGTTCAGACCATCCAGATGATATACCTGAGTGAACCCAGTGAAGGACTCTGTTAAAGTTTCTAGAAGGTGGGGCAATGACCTACTCATCTTGTAGCAACTTCATGTGTAAGTTACCTTGCTTATGAAATCTACCACTTACCAATCTGGAGTGGCCTGCCTCTTCCTTCAGTCTCTCCTCCTTTCCCTATATAGGGCCAGTTCTGAATTTCACCCCAGAGGTTTCTGAGGTTGTGAACCAACATCACATCACTGATGGAGTGAAACTCCAATACTGGCTTCCTTGTTTCACTTTCCTATTACCCCTCAAGGTAAATAAAGACATCATCCAGCATTCATATCAGAACTACAGAACCAAGTGTTAACCAAATTCAACAAAAAGATCTGCAGCATCGGGGACGCCTGGGTGGCTCAGTGGGTTAAGCCGCTGCCTTCGGCTCAGGTCATGATCCCAGCGTCCTGGGATCGAGTCCCACATCGGGCTCCTTGCTCAGCAGGGAGCCTGCTTCTCCCTCTGCCTCTGCCTGCCACTCTATCTGCTTGTGCTCACTCTCTCTCTCTCTGACAAATAAATAAAATAAAATCTTTAAAAAAAAAAAAAAGATCTGCAGCATTAAACTGGCTATATAAAATTTATGATAAAGAACATTACATATATTAGTAGCCATAGTAATATTAGTCAAGTGAATGCTACACATTCTTTAAATACACTCTACATAGTGTATTATACAGTATCATAATGTAATAATGTATGTAATATAACACATACTTGTTTTGAGATCCAATTATTAAAGGTTTACCATCACCCCTGTCTACCATGAGAAAACTATTGATTTGGAAAAGTTGTTTAACTCTGAGTATCATCTTCCTTATCTGCCAACTAGTGATATGAGTGCCTTCCTCAGAGGATAATTTTAGGAGTAAAATAAAATAGTTTATGCTAAAACCCTGTGTGGATTACAAATGTTAATTATTATCAAACATTCAGCAAATACATTTCAGCTCCTAATATGAGCTCTCTTAAGAATTCTCAAGTTTTGCAAAGATGAATAATGTTGAATCCTTCTCCTCAGGTTGCTTACAGTCTAGAGATGAGAGAGGCAAATAAAAGGATATAAGAAGATGAGATATGATCCAACAGAGAAAAAAGCAAAGTGCTATGCAACTCGAGGAAAAGAAGTGAATGCTTTTACCTGGAGCACCAGGGAGCACTTCACTGAGAAGGTAGAATTATGAGGTAAGTTTTGAAGAGTCATTTGCATTTGTACCAGTTGAGATGGTGTATGTGGAAAGGGGAGGCATTCCAGGCTGATAGATGAAACACCAAACATATCATCATCACATGTATTATAATACCAACTAAGGAAATCATAATTGTATTGATAAATCCACTGCATCAAAAACCCTTACTTGTTATTTCCATGTACAACAGAAAGAATTATGCCATTATACATTATGCAATCCAGTGTGCCTAACGATAATCTTGCATAGTCAAGAGTTGACTAAATATTTATTCAGTTTTTTCCAATTTATAAGCCATGTTCATTTCTAAGAACTGAAGTGTAAATTATCCTAAGACCTTCTTTCCTTAGTGAAAGAAAACATTCATGTACAGGTGATTTTTTAAGTTATTTTTCAGGAAACTCCTCTGTATAATATGTCCTCAACAGGACAGAAGGGACTAGCCTATAGACATAAAGAAAACTTGCCCCTGATTGCAATTCTATAAATACATAAATCATGCACCTGTTATGTAAACAATGAAGAACAGGTCTAAAGTGAGGTTTTAATGGGAGAGTGGAACACTGAGGCAAGAGAAAAGTGAAACCTTTTAATACATTCATGGGAACAAGGGCTAACTATCAAAGAAAGAGCATTATTTCATCTCTCAGTTAATGAGTCCTGCAAGGGTTGACATTACTCAGTAAAGTTCACTGAAAAGATTTTCCCCTTGCTAGTCAAAATACGCTAGTTAATGTTTGTGACTTTAAAAAACAACATTTTGAAGAAAGCTTGGCCAAGCATGTACAGAATTTAAGTGTAAAAGGAGAAGATGTCTATGAATCTTTCACACACACAAGTCTGACACGATGGGTCTGTAGCCTTGACCTCAAGTGACAACGGAACAGACCACAGATCCAGTTTAGGTCCCTATAGGACATATGTTAGAAAAGCACCCCCCACACACACACACACACTGAAATGAAAGCTTTTTCCCCTTCACTCTGGATCTCTCACCTCCCAGTACGTGCTCTCCCTCGGCAAGCCACCCTGCCAATGGAGCCTTCCACTCTGTTCTCTCCCTGATGACAACTGTCAGTCTGTCGCTGTCTGAACCTGCAACATTTCAACAAAATCTAAAAGGAAATTGATAGCGCAGGGGCTGAAATACTCTAGTTTAAAAACACACAGCCAGACCTCCTCCCTGGAGATCCAAGACTCCTCAAGCACCACCTTTCAAAGTGCTGAAGGTAAGAATCACCCTAGTCTTAACTATAAGAGTTAAAGCGGTTTCTGTCTGCTCAGAACCTGAGCACTCGCAAGCACCTTCTAATTAAACAACGTTACTGGAAATCATCCCGAGAAGAAAGAGCCCACAAGCCCCGGGGAAACTTCAGCAGCAAAGCGGAGGGTGCTAAAGCCAGCGGTCCAGCCAGGGGTGGGGTGCGGGGGGGCGGTGCGGGGAAATCGCTCACTCTCCCGCGCCGCCGCAGCGGCCCCCGGACCTCCAAGGCGACGCCCGCAGGGTGCGCGGTGACCCTCCGAGCGCGGGGCCAAGAGGGAGAGACCGCGCCCTCCCGCAGGCAAGGGCGACCGGCTGAGCGCCGGGGGCGGGAGGGCTGTGAGAGTCCGGACGGCGGGGAGGCGGGAGCCGCCAGGAGCTCCGAGCTCACACGCCCACCCGGCGCCGGGAGGTGCGGGTCCGAGGGTCCGCTGAGAGGGGCCGGGGAGGCCGGTCCCAGGGCAGGCGGCGGTCCCGGGACGGGGGCGCGCGGGGCACTCACCAGCTGCAGCGCGCAGAGGCAGATGAGCGAGCAGCGCCCGGTGCAGCAGCCCATGGTGCCGGCGGCGTCCGAGCGGCGCGCGCGGGGAGAGATCTGCGTCCTTCGGCGCCGCGGCTCCCGACTCCGGAGCAGCCCCCGCCCGGCGCTTGCCCGGCCCGCGGCCGCCACTCGCGGCTCTTGGGGTCTGGGCTGGCGCACCGCCTTTGTTAGTTTCCCGGGCCGGCAGAGGTCAGTCCAGCGCGCTCGACCCGAGCGTCTGGCGGGGTCCCTGCCTCCCACTGTGCAGGTCTGCTTCTTGGGGAGGGGGAGCCGGGCGGGCGGGGCGGGGGGCGGAAGGGAGGCTACAGATGGTGAGTGGGTGGAAGTCTGTTTAGGGGAGGGGAGTATGAGGAGGTGGGCGTCTGAAAAGTGGAGTGGGCTGTCTGGGTTGGGGTGTGTGTGTGTGTGTGTGTGTGTGTGTGTGTGGTGGGAGGCGATGAATGAAAGGGAGTGCCGCTGAGGAGGCTCAGCCAGTCTTGTTAGAGTCTTTGGAGAGAGAGAGGCCGAGGGAGAGAGAGAATGAGAATGATGAATATGAATGAGCGTGAATTGGGGCGGCTGGCGGTGGTGGTAGAGACCTTCGGCGGCGGGTCTAGCTGGGGAGACCCGGCCTGGGCTTTCCCTCTGGGGCTTGCGCTGGGCCTGGGGAGGGCCCTCAGAGGCGTGTGTAGAGGAGGGGACTGGGTTTTGCTGAGCTGCCCGAGAGCTGGAGAGGGTGGGAGTCGAGAGGGCTTGGTGTCCCGAGAAGCGGGTCCCAGAGGCGAGCAGCCAGGGGCGGTGGGGCGAGCGTCGCACAGCGCCGGGCGGAGCTCCGGGACCCGAGGCTGCGAGTTCGGGCGGCCGGAGAGGAGCGGGCTGGCGGACGCTGCGCTGGCGCGTCTACAACGCTCGACTCTGGGAGCGCGGCTCGGGGTTCCCGGGGCCGGGGACGCTCCTGCCCGCCGCAGTCGGTTGCTCAGAGGGCGCCCCTGCTGGAGCCTGGGAGCCAAAGTTGGAGCGAGTTGGCGTGGCCAGAGGCGAAGAGGCGGCAGTGAAGAGCAGCGCCGGCTGGAGTGCAGGGTGAGCCGGGACGCCACGAGGAGCTCTGTTTTGGGTTTCCCAACTAAGGGCTCTTTGAAATTGTCGCCAGGCAGGAGAGGAGACAAAGCGAGAGAGAAGAGGATGCGTGTCTGTTTTCGAGGAATGGAGAATATTTCCGCGATGAGGATGTGATTTCTCCTCCGAAAAATATTGAGAAAGGGTTTGGAAATAAGACCTCGTCCCAGTGAGAGTTAAAATCCCAGGCTAACTCTCCATGAATCCCAAGGAGACTCTCTGGCTCTGGCTCGCGTAATAGAAGAGAGCAGAGGAGGTCTGCAGAGGATCAAATGTCTTGGGGCCCAATGTCAAATTTCATGGGCACCTTTGCTGTACGTACCTGGTGGAACTACGCTAGTGGCTCCAGCACGCTGGAAGAGCAGGGAGCAAGCCTCCGGGCCATTTGTCACAGAAGAGGCTTTCTTCAGGACTTGGCACAGAAACCCGGTTTCTAACCTACTGCTGCTCTCCTGGGTCCTTCGTGGTAGGTTAGCAGGAAAAGGAGAGATCTTTGCATTTTTAAAACATTCACTCTACACATGGAAACGATGCTCAGGTCATTCCTGCAGGCATGAAAGGGAGTTATAGGCTGTTTTGTTTTGTTTTGTTTTGTTTTGCAATTTACTGCCTTTTTCTGGACTGTTCCTCCAGGACCTACATTTGTAACTGAAAACAGTTATAGCTCCCAGAAAAATCTTTGCATGGTAACTTTGAAATTTAATAGGGACACAGAAATAACCTCAGGATTTGGGACCATAAAAGGGCCAAAAACATTCATTGTTTAGGTTCCACTTCTGTCCATTATCACAGAGAAGAAGAAAATGGAGTCAGAAGCCTTTGTTGTCGTTACTGTTGTTGACCCAATCTTTAAGGCATCAAGGGATGAAGGATCAACATTTCTTTTATCAACAATAAATGTAACCATCACGATTTATGATGAATGAAAACAATAAGGAAAAATGGACCCTGACAAATAAATGATTTAGCGTATCTTAGAGGGCAGGACAGAAAGTTTCAGGCATCAGCCCCTCTGAAAGCTGTAGGAGGCAGCTGAAGAAGCAGAGGACATGAACAAGTCTATCTACAACTTCCAGAAATTATCATAGTCTCTTCGTCTCCAACGATTGTGATGGATGATGATAATAAACATAGTGTCCCTGTTTTCTCTCCACATTACATATGCTCCCCTCAAAATACATTTTTTTTAATCATCATTTTATTTACTTGTTTAGAAAGTATGAAATTTGCAGCCAGCACACCCTGGGTCCTTGCCAGGCACCAGGCACCAGTGTAAATGCTTTATGTATATTCACTTACTTAATCCTCACAAGAGCTGGGAGATCAGTGCACCACCTTGAGCATCCCCAGTAAAAGGATATGGAAATGGGAACAGGGAGTCTCATGGCTACTGAACAGATGAAAAGGAATGCAAAGCCAGGTAATCTGACTCAAGAGCTCCTTGATTTACGCATTCACCGCATTCACCGTTGCCTCTCAAGCTTAGGACCCAAGAAACACCCGCACTGGAGCCAACCGTTCTCCAGGAAGTAGGTATAATAATTTGCATTGACTCCACCTCCAGAGTCAGTACCACCCAGGCAGTGTCCTTTTAGGGGACCAATTCAGTCTTCCAGTATCTTTCCCTTTCCCACTGCCCCCTCTACTGATAGACCAGGACTGGAGTTTCTTCCTGGAATCATTGAAGACAGTTGAAAATGCTTTCGAAGAGGGGAAGAGGGAAGAAGCAAAGATAAGAGGATGCTATAACAAGTCTAAAAATTGTGTGAAGTTACCTTTATTTTTCACTGCAGTCTCTTACTCTCATTTGCTAAATTGAACTGCTTCACGAACTAAAAATCTTCCTCCCTCCCTTCGTTTCCTTCCTTCCTCAATCCCACCCTCAAACATGTCTTACTTGCTTCATTTCTACGTTGCTTATTATGTCAAGGGTCATGCTAGTTGCCAGGTTTGCAAAGGTAAATGATATATTCCCTCGCTTCCCGTCAAGCGCTTGGTGGTGGGAAGGGAGAGCCACGGAGTGAATGGAGTAGAGTCTAGTGTGAGGAAAGTTAGCACTGGGTGCTATCACTGAGTTTTCTTTCTGTGAGGGTAGGGAAGATTTAAAAGAAGAATTACCTGTCTTTTGGGGACAGGGGTGGAGAAGACAGTAGCAAATGACAGAACAATGGAAAGGGTGAGGTCTGGAGAGGACTGTGGGTAAGCTGAGGAGGAAATGATAATCTAAGTAGAGCAGCTGATCCTGATGTGTGGGTGGTTATGCCACCTCCTAGCTATCAATTTCAGAGAAGTCACCTTGTTTCCCTCAGTCTAGCTTGCCTCTGTAAAGTGGGCATGACGGTATGACTTGCCCCAGAGGACTAAGGCTTGCATTGTTCTTTATCTTCCAACCGCATGTGCCTTACCCCTTCACGTCACGTAGGTCTCAGCGTCATGTCACGTCCCGGCGAGGCCTCACTGACCACACTGTCTGAAATCACACTCCAGTCACTCTGCTGCATTTTCATTCAAAACAGGTTTTTGTTTACTTTATAATTTCCTGTCTCCTCCACTCAGAAATAATGTTAATTTATAATAATGGACACTTTTAGTATCAGAGCTCCCACATCATGTATACAGATATATTTATACACACATAAATGTAGCTGATGTAAGTACTAAACTTATGTGTATATATATATATGCATACAGGACATTCTAGTCTGTCTTTTTCTTTCTTCTTTTTCTCAATTTCTTAGTAAAATCCTTTTTTTTAGTTTTTTGTTGTTGTTGTTGTTTTACTTACTTAAGTGAATAAGTACTCTACACCCAACATGGGGCTCAAACCCACAACCCAAGATCAGGAGTTGCATGCTCTTCTGACTGAGCCTGCCCAGCAGGTACACCTAATAAAATTTCTTTTGAGAGACTCTACTCCCATCTCCCTTAAAGTCCAGAGAGAATCAAATTGTCTATATCAAGAGTAAGAGGACTGGGTGGGAGGGAGCACATCTAGAGACCACACATAAAATGTAAATTTCTAAATTTCATAGGACTTTCAAACACAGTCAACCCTTGAAGAACTCAAGGGTTGGGGCGCTGACTCTCCCCCGCAGTCAAAAATCCAAGTATAACTTTTTAAAAGATTTATTTATTTATTTGAGAGAGAGAGAGAGAGAAATCAAGTGCATGAGTAGGGGAGGGGCAGAGGGAGGAAATCTTTGAGCAGATTCCATGCTGAGCTCAGAGCCCCTCAGGGCTTGATCTCATGACCCTGAGTTCATGACCTGAGCCAAAACCAAGAGTTGGATGTTTAAGCAACTGAGCCACCCAGGCGCCCCAACTTTTGGCTCTTAATAGCCCACTAAGAAGCCTTAGTGATTACATAGTTGGTTAACATATATTTTGTATGTAATATGTGTTATATACTGTATTCTTACAATTAAGTAAGCTTGAGAAAAGAAAATGTCATTAAGAAAAGCATAGGAGGAGAAAGTACATCGACAGTACTGTTCTGTAAAGAATCCATGTGTAAGCAGATCCCCAGAGTTGAAACTCGTCTTGTTCAAGGGTCAACTGTACAGGGATTGGATTCATGAGCTTGAAGGAATTAAAGTGCCACCTTAATTATTTCACTTTTTTTAAAAGTCTTCTAGTTCTGCATTTTTGTTCGACTAAGATAATGTACAGTCCGCTCAAGCATTTTTCTATCTTCACTGAGAAAAGTTGTTAAACGTGCCACGAAATGTGTGCTTTTTCTTTAGCACCTGCTTGATGGTGGGCCCCTTCTTTGGCACCTTCTTGGAGCCAGCAAATTATAATTGTCTACACCTCTTCCTACAACTGGCTTCAGTTCATGATTAGAATAGACACTGTCCTAATTGACAGACACTGTACTAATGGTGTGACTGCTCAGTTTGAGCAGAGATCAAGTTTACACT